CAGAACATTTTGCTGAATCTTTTAAGATCAGGTTTCAAGTGTTTTGAAACAAGCCTAGTCTGTTCTGAATTGGACTGCTTTTGATGTCAGAGAAATGGGTGAATCAAACTGTGGTAAGACTGAGTTGTTTTTACAACTTAAAGTAAAATATATATATATATATGACCCAGCAGAAAGTATGAAGAAGTTTTTAAAATAAAGAAAATGAACACGAACGTCGTGTCCTACGTGGTGGACATGGACATGTACGGAGTTCATCATGTTGATTTCTTTAGTTAGATTTATTTCAGTGCTGTTTTGTATCACGCTTATTGTTGGAAAATATTTTCTCTGCTGCTTAAAGAGTCTGCAGGAGTCTCTCACTCCGACCACCTCCCAGATGTTTGTTTCTCCCACAGACACAGTCCGGGGTTTATTCTGCTGAGCCTGGATGAAGTTACAAATTGCACTGATCTCCTGGTCAAAGCAATAAGAAAATCCATTTTCTGGCTCCAATTAATGTGCCTTCCCACTTGGCAGTGTTATACAATTCCCCCAGGTCTCAGGTGTCCACATTTGGCCTTTTGATATTTGTGGCGGAGGAGAAGGAAAAGAATCATTTATTCTATCTGCATACATATAAAACTGTCTGTTTTCAGCCACATTTCCCACTTTAATGCGTCTGCCCAGATGACTTTTGGACAGTTTCTTTAGGGAACTGATGAAAATGTTATTGCATTTCCCATAAATGTGAGTGACACATGCAGAAAGCAATTTAAAAACCGGATGTAATCACATCATCTGTGTATGTGTTTATTTTTAAAGTGCGTCTCTCCTTTTTCTTACTCCCTCATCCTCCTACATCCTCACTATTTTTACTCAACACCATATCCTAATTATTTTGACTATCGTTTAGGCTAATGTTTTATATTTGGCTTTAAATCTTTTTTACTTTTTTACTATTTGAGCCTATCACAGCTGTTGCAGCGGTTCTTTGACGGCTACGTTAGCCTGCATAGTGTTTATGCTAATAAACGCTAACTTTGAGCCATTCTGAATTTATTTCGGTTTATAGTGTATTTAAGCTATATTTATAACTCAGAGTTATTACATTAAAATTAAACTTTTTCTCAGTCACTCTGTTTATAAAAATAGAGTGCATATATTTTTCTTACATCATTCAGTCTGCCAGAATAGAGCGACATATATAAATGGCTAGTTCACGTAAACAGACATTTGCACCTTGAGAGTGATGTTGAAATGTTAACTCACAATGTGACTCGCTACGCTGATGAAAACCTGCTATTTTTCAGTTCCCCAGGAACTAAAATACTGTTTTATTTAACGTACCATTAGGTCTGTATCACCAACAGGAGGCGGTACGAATAAAGTTCAGCCAGAGTTTGACAAGCCATTCTTTTACTCACACACCTTGACAGGTTCTGGAGAGACGTCCCCACTGATTGCGGCACATGAATATTCTCCTGTTGAGTTTGCACAACACTTACTTCTTCTCGGGGCTGCGGCCTGCACACCTTACATCAGCGTTTACTAATCTCTCACACAGCTTTCTATTCTCTCACCAGAACAAATGTAATTATCAGCGCTGTTTGCCCTTCTCCTCTGTTTGTACCTCGCTCCATTGGCTGTAGGTCTAATCAATTATGCAAATAGACGAGTGTTGTCCCAGAAAAATGGGCCGCCGTCGGCTCTCCTCCTGAAGGATGTTGACAAACCTCCTTATTTTGCCCGTGTCAATAAGCGCGAGCTTCAAGTGCAATCCGTACGAGGTACATGATCGCAGGCTGTCAGCGCAGTAATTGCCTTATGACTCACCGTCAACAGGGAGAGACACTCGGTCTACACGCCGACGAGGCCACAGTGACTCAAACTGTCTTTTTATACAAGTACAATGTAAGATTGTGGGCTAATTCAACAGCAGGCAGAGGTGACAGAGGTCGTGTGAATCCCCGAAGACATTCAGTTTCACAGTGTTCAGTCACGTGACCTCACAGCTCATCACTGTTGGACAACCTGTTGTTGTCGTCCAACTTGGACAATATCATTGATTTTAGTTTAATAAGTAAACGTTTTCCTACATTTTTCATTAGGCCTCGGCCATAACACACATATAATTAAAATGTTGTTTTTTAATGTCATATGGAGCAGATTATTTCTACTGAATTCACTGTACAGGCAATAAAAATGAAATGAAAATTTATAACCGATGATAGTTACAGTAATAACTATTCTACTTCTATGTTTTGTGAATACCTATAGGTGGACAAAAACAAAAATAGCTAAAAGGTTTTTTACCAAATTTTACTTAAAGGAACGAAACATCACCTAAAAACAAATATTATTTTAGTTTTTATATATGAACATTAGCTGCTAGGTTTTAGCTTTTGGCAAACTAACTTTTCCTGGAACAATAATTTGTATTTCATGTGTTACAGTTGGCTCGCCTCGCTACATATTTCTAATTGACATTTAGCTCATATTCATGTTTTTAAAAGTCTTGTTACTTTAGATTTATTTGTCTTTTATGTAGTACTGTTTTAGCTTGCTATTTTGTTTTTTTTCACATCCCCCCTCAGTGTTTCTACTGCTCCTGTCTGAAGATGGCCAGTAAAATCCATCAACCACTGACTTTTTCTCAGCATAAAAAGAAAAGAACTCTATCTGCCATCTGCTGAACTTCAGTTAATGGCAGTAAATGCTTTGAGTCTCAGTGGAACTCAGTCTGTGCCGGCGTATTGATATGAGATTGGTTGGTAATGCAGGTCGACCTCTCGGGCTCGCCTCCAACCATTTTATTCATATTTGTTATTTTTCTAAGTCCCAATCTTGTCGCAATTTGAGGTCTTCATCATCCTGCACCAACAAATAGACAGGGGGTGATGAAACAGTGACCCTGGTCAGAAAGACCCATAATGCCTCGGGAGTTTGGCAGTGTGGCCATCATTACACCTGCATATATACAGCATGTATTTTCTCAGTAGCGTGTGGCTCCTCGTGCAGGAGCAGCATGTTATAATTAAGATCTCCTCTGATAAAGACATCTCCCTCTTTATGCTTGTTTCCCTAAATTAGCTTCCCATCTTTTCCCCTGACATTAAGCAGATCATTGTGCTGAATGTTAGCATTATTTTTTCCCTACTAATGCTCATTACCGGGAGCAGTGGGAGGGTGAAGAGTCAATTTCTTGCATGTCTTTCTGATTACACCCGAGCAGAAAGTTGTGCGTCCTAATTGCAACAGTGGAGATATTATTAAAGTACCTTTGATTCGGGGAGCTGTAATCTAATTTAACACAGCCTGTGTTCTGTATTAGGTGGCTGTGTGATTACACACTGCACCACACGTGCCGTCACCATTTATTTTTTTCTCCCCCCGTACATTTTCGTTTCGTTTAACCCTGGGCCTCAAAGCCGTGATGGGCTGTCAATTTAAAACAATTGCTGTTGCCGCTGTTCTAATTACACACTGTATCTGCAAATGTAATGCAGATTAAAACGCAGGAAGATAAGATATCAAGTGTTGAGACAAGAGATGTGATTTAAATACTGCATATTTCAAATACTAGTTGGATTTAAAAAACAGTTTTGGTAAAGTTTTCTGGCAGTTTTTTTTTTCTTTTCTTGTGGCCAGCTGCTAGCTGTACTTAATTTGCAATACTTTTATTCACCTTTAACATTCTGCTTTATGCTAGACTTATTTCTGTATTCTATATTTTGGAGCTATTTTTCTTATTATTGTATAAGTAATAAGTTCAGTTTATTTGAGAATTGAGAGTAGCTGCTACCTCAGAGTCTGGAAGCAGTTAGCTAGAAGATAATGAAAGATAATTCTAATAACTACGCCACTTTGAGAATCCTACTGCAAACAAAGGGGGGTGATAATTATACTTTTCACTCTTAGCATAGACTAACAATGCTAAGGATGCAGGAAACTTCCACCAGGGCTTGTTAGCCAGCGATTCCTCATGTGTTTATTGTTAACAGGCTAGAATTTGGTTTTTTAAAAATGTAACACCTGAAGAGTACATGTTACTTGTAATTGTAGCTTATTTCCAACCAACACACACACATACACACACTCGTACACACACACAAGAAGGATACTACTGCAATATAATTTGTCTCTGGTGATGAATTCCCTTTGGTGTCTCCTGAGACGTTCCAGCCCATGCTGACAAACCAACACATTTTTCACTCTCCGTCCTCGCCGTTTTCTCTCTCTTTCTTCTCTCTTGTTTCCTCTCATATACCCCCTGAATTGATATTTTTCCTCTCTCTACCTGCCCCACCCTGCCCCACTCTATCTTCTCTTTTTTTTTCCTTGTAAATGTAGTCCTCAAGGAGGAAAAACAAAAATGTTCATCACTGTGAAATGTGTCTAATGAATTAGAACCGTAATGACACGAATAGAATGATTACAAAAAGTCATAAGATCACGAGGAATAAACTTGAAATAAAAAAAGCTTGTCAGCTTAGAAGAATGAAGTTACAAATGAAGGTGAAGTTTTTCTTTTCCTGCTCCTAGTCATAGTAAGATTGTTGTCGTTAACTTAACTTTTTTTTTTTGGTAATATTGAACTTACACTTACAACTTTGTTTATTGTTAAGAACAACATAGTGCTGTCTTTTATTCGATCATTGTAGAAAATAAAAATTATTATTGAAGTTGATGGAAATAAAATATTTACAGTTTTAAGTTCATGGGAGGAAAGTAAAGTAGAAGTACTACGACAAAAGTTTGTTCATTTACAGGATATGAAATTGCAAACTTATTCTTAACAAACAAGACCATTTTTTTATATTACATATTTGTATGTATATATGTTAATATATATATGTATTTATATATTTATACGTATATTACATATATGTATTTTACATACATTTACAACATTGTTCTCATTGTGGCAGTATTACTGGTACTAATGGCTGCTTGGATCACTCTGGTTATTAAGACTAAAATTGAAAGCCTTGGCTCCAGTACATGCTGAGCTTCATTATCCCAGCAGGAGAAGTGTTGTTATTATTATATTTATTTATTTATTTATTTTTGCATGTTTGGCTTTAGCCTGTGTTGATTGGTTCCGTCCTTGGTCGCTGCACCAAAGATGAACCTTCCCTAAATAATTTTAGGCTCATCCATTTTTAATGATGGTAGTAAATTGAACCTCCATTTTCCACAAATCAAAAAAACATACTTGGGAATGGTGGAAGTGTGGCCTGGGTGTGGACTGGAATACTAAAACCCACATGTCTAATAGCATCGCTCCAATGTTGTGTCGCGCTGTCGGACCAAAAAAAAAAAAAACCCTCTCTTGGAACAATCCTGGTGAGTTCTGGCTCTGAATAATACCAATAAATATCAGTTGTGTCTTGTCCCACAGCAGGACTCTCGTCAGGCACAGCTTTTATTGGCGACTTTTAGAATCGCTAAACGGATTTTGCCCTTGTAAAAGGCAGGAACAGGGATATTATTATTATGTGTCCGAGGCTGTGAGTCGAACAGAAAGGAAAATAATAAAGGTTGGAAAAGACAAGATGAAAAAGACAAAATTAGTTAAAGGCATGGAGAGGAAGAGGAGGGACAGGAGTGAAATAGAGGTGAAAACCAGGAGACTAAAAAGACACAGTTGTCCACTTTACTCTGTCCGATGGCGGCTGGAGAAATTGGAAACAGTGGCGTTCCCTAATCTTCCCATCACCTTCCCCATCTAGAAAAAAAATCTTGAACCCTGAAACCAAACACAGATACAAATTTAAATATCAACCGGATAAAGACACTACTGACGCTACATTTCAATCTGGATTTTTCTGAAGTCCTGATAACATCCCAGTGGAATAATTTAGATATTAGATTCAGTTCCTGCAGAGTAACTTCCCCCGGCATCACCTTCCAGACAGGTGTCACATCCCGAAATGTGGTCTGCGAGCAGTAGATCATGTGCTCCTCGTGGGCCTTATCTGCAGACTGCCACATGGCTACTTGACAGCTGGTTTGAGGCCCTGCATCAGTGTGAGCCTCCATCCCTACATCAGCATCCATCTTTCTCTCACTCCTTTGAAACCTGGAGGATTTTTACACTTTTTTTTGCAGCATTTCAGTTTTGGCAACAAACCAATTTCACCCCATGTTTTTGCCCTTTAACCTCGGCGTCTTTCAACCTTACTCTGCCCTCAAATGAGTATTTATGGCACGTTTATCAGATTCTTAAGTGTGTGGCTTTTTAAATTGATTGTATTTTTTTCATGTGTGGTAACCTTTATAAGTTAAGTTAACTTTCACTTTAATGGTCCTTTTTGTTTTTTAGCAGGAGCCAGGGTCCGTGGTTACTTGTCGGACAGGTGGTTCCTCTTTCTGCCAGATGGTTCAGGATGAAGCCAGTTGTGCGTGGATTTCTCCTCAGGCCAGACACCCTACTCCCAGGTTGGTCCTTATTCCCCAGCCACACTTGGTCCCAAACCCAGACATACCAGGGAGGGTTAAAACAGGAAGGACACCCGATGTAAAAATACACACTGGATATCAACTAGTTACCAAAGTTTTCTTTTTTAGGTCAACAACACCTAAACTAACATTAGAAAAACATTAACATTAATGTTAGAAAAATCGTTTTATTAACTCACAATTTCTTAACGTAAACCCGGGACTGTTTATGTGAACACTGATGTACTGACAGGAATTGAAGAAAGACTCAGAGTCTGCTTAACATTGAGGATCGTTTGGTTTTCTTATATTCAGGCACGAAAAAATGGAGCATCAACAGCAGCTTCAAGAGGGAGGATCGGGAAACATTGCTCGAAAGCACAAGGGCAGGTAGGAGCAAATCTTAAACTCTACAATGTTCAGAGCCACGCAGAGGTAGCGGTGACCTAAACGGACGTTTCCCCTCTGACGTCTGTTGAGTTTAAACCAGAAAAAAAAACCCAGTTTTCTTTAGGCCTCTTCTCTTGGTTTTCTATTTCTGACCCTGACACATTTTTTTAAAAAGCAAAGTTCTCTCAGGAAGAACTGAAACTCTCTGGTGTTTTAGTGAATACTAATCGTTCAGTCTCAAGGGCAGTGGTGGCTTGGTGGTTAAAGGAACGCACTCGGGTCCGGATGTTTGCATGTTTGCAGGTTCGATTCCATCAGCTGCCAAGTTGTCACTGATGGGTGAAAATGTAGAGGTCACATTTGGTTGTGTCCAGTATCACAATGACAAGTAATTCACTTTCATTTGGTTCACATAGTTTAAATGGCGACCTTTCCTTCAAAAGGATGCTCAGACAAAGGTCACATCCCCAATCACTTAAATAAATGAAATCCTTAAAGGTTATTATGTAATTTTTGTCTGATAAAAAACCAGGAAAGTGTCACTTGAATATTATTAAATTCCTTTCATGAGGCAGAATTTATTTTATATGGCACACCTATTCATTTACTGCAGCAAAAAAAAAAAAAAATCACCTTCCCACCAATGAGAGCGCTTTTTTCCTCATGAGTCCCAACACTCTTCAGATGACCTTGAAGGCACCACTGGCTCTTACAATGTGGAACTAATTGCAACACAAGGACTCATTAGCCAATGACAGTCCTTCTCCCATGGGCTGCGTTTCCCCATCATTCCCCCGGACGATCTTGCGACCTCCTCCCCCACCTCACCCCCCATCCTGCCCCCCCGCCCACGTTGACGTGACTTAAAAAAAAAAAATTGCTACATCACAGCATTTTGCTAAAGTCACCATTACGTTCACAAACTGTTCAATATGATGTTCCTAATAGTTTAAATGGAGATTTATTGCCTTTGTCCACATAAATGTTATTATATTACAATAAAAAGGCGAATCGTTTGGACTGTCATCTTGATAACAAATCACTAACAGGCGGCAACAGAGAAAACAATGGAGTTGATTAAAAGAGTCCGAGTTGATATATTGGTGGAGCGGGTCTGTGATTTAATCTCATTAGATTTTGTTGGTGTTCTTGAAGCTCGGTCACAAATGAGCTCATTAATGAAAATGGGATTATTTTTTTCCAATTTCATTTTTTAGTTTAGACACACCAGTCTAACCAAAACAGGGTCACCTGTTGTTGTAAACCACATGCTGCTCTAGCTGTGACTGCGCTGTGTGTGTGTGTGTGTGTTTTCACAATTAACTACTATTTGAGTAGAAAACGATCTGTGATTATATACTTGACTAGTTGATTGACCGTGGGTTTTTGTTGATGGAAAATAAATGAAAGACTTTTGGTTCATTTTTTTTAAGCCTTTGTGTTTTAGTGGAAAACGTTTATTTAACCTCTAGACAAACATTTAGCTAGTTTTGCGCCATACTTCACTTTGCAGTTTGACTAACTATTAGTTTTTTACCTGGATTTGACTATGTTGTGAAGTATTTGGCTAGCTTTTAGCTATTTTTTGGGTTTGGTGCCATGGAATCTTTTAGCTTCTATGGATCTATTATTGAGTTTTTTGCAGCATATTGAGCTAACCTTAAGCTGTTTACTGTCTGTATAATTAATTGCTAATTGTTCGCCTAGATGAACGTCAGTTTATTTAGATTAGTTTTTGCTAAGCTATATGTGGATTAACATTAGCTTTCACTGTGGCTATTTTGCTAGCATATCACTTTCAAAGACACATTAACACCTTTCCACTCTCCAGCATCACAAAGTGCAATCTTGGGAATAACACAACTGTGGTACAATACACCTGGGACATGTAGTCTACTCCCTCTACACCCCCCCTCACCCCCACCCCCCACTGTTCTTTTAGCTGTTCCTACATGTATATACTGCGCTCAAGTCCCAAAGTGTGTCATTGGATTAGACTGACATTATACAGCTGAAGAAGGAGGGAGGAGGAGATGTTAGGAAGTGGGGAAGAAGTGAGGGAGAGGGGGGAGGATGGCCGGCCTCCTGACAACAGCTTAAGTGAAATCTACATAAAGGCTGAAGTTGTGCATTCAGGTACAGAGGCAGAGGAAACAGAATGGGATGAGGAAAATATACCAAAACTGGTGTTCTTTGTAAATTTGGATAAAAAATACCATATAAATAGTGGAGGAAAATTTGTTATTTTCAAATATGACCGTTCTGTGAGCGTGGACGTGTTCCCAGTCACGCCCCCCACTTAAACAACACACACACACACACACTTCTTTTCTCCCATTATCTTTTTGTTCTCCTCTTCGTTCTGCTTGGTTGATTGGGAAAACAGCCAGGGACCAGAAAAGGTCAAGTGGCTCTGCTCTCCTCACTTCTCCTCCTCCTTTTCCTCCTCGTCATCATTCTCTCCTTCCTCTGATGTGGCGATAATGAGAGGACAAATCTGAGCGACGTGCTGTCAGGGATTTTTCTTACCGTTTAGTCGCCCCGTTTTGCGTACGTCTTAACATCGTCTGAAATGGAGCAGCGGTAAATCTGTGAGAGGCTTTTATTTGCAAAAATAAACATCTGAAACACCTTGGAGGTAGTATTAGTTGTGGTCTTCCAGGTGGGTCTCTGCAGGTTGTTAAATCAGAGCCAAGGTCAATCTGACCATCAAGGCTTCACAAAATTGGACTTGGTCTGTCTCAAGGGGGCTCAGAAGCCCACCATCCACCACTCAAATCATTGTTGTTGTGTGGATGCCAATCACAAAGTACTTCCTGCCAGTTCTTGTTGTGCTGCTGTCCAAGGTCACAGAGTGCCGTCAGAAAGAGAAAAGGGGGGAAAAGAATCGGTTCCACTGGTCATTGTACAAGTACAGACACATTTACACACTCAACAAAATGGGTCCTCTGCATTTAGCCGGTCCCTGGGGACCAATGGGCGCTTTCACTAGCCCCCGGGGAGCGAGGGAATTTTTGGTGCTTACTCAACAGACACAAAAGTAAAATAACATTTGATCAAAAACAGGCCACGTTGTCCATAATTGTCCCAGTTGTTTGTTAATTTAGTCTAAGGTGAATTGAGTGCAGTTTTACAAAAAAAGTTCCCCCTGTACCTACTAATAGATTATACACTGTCTCTGGGCGTGCTCAAAATAATATTACAAATGATATGCAACATTGTGTTACAGCAGCTGTTACCTGAGCCTCTCAAAATCAGTAAGAGTAACAGTTGCTCAAAGGGGGGCCAGATTGGACTGTTTGGTGGGCAGGATACGGGCTGTGGGCCACCAGTTGATGACCACTGTTTTACTTGGTAGTAAAATAATAGAATGGTTGTTTGTCTGTGTATTTGGTGTTGGTGATGTTAGTGTTTCCTCCTGTGACGGTTGAACCATCGTCTGTTAAAAATTGGAGGATTTTGACCTCAGGTTAAATCCAACAGGATGAAATTTCTGCCTCTCTGGGAACTTGGTCGAACTTTCCAAATGTAGGAACTGAACATCCGTAAGTCCCAGGCCCCCCAGATTTTTCTTGCCTTTTACTCGACCTTCCTAACCAGTGTTTTCCTCTGTGTCTCACCCTGTGGAGTGAGTAACAACTGTGATCTACCGCACTTCAAATGATCTCCACACTTCTGCTTTAAATCTGTTTTTCAGAAATCTTTTTTTTTGTTTATTCATGGGTTATTGCAGGGTGGGGGGATCAACCAACCGATCCAATTATTTCCGGGAATCCTAAGCCTTTTAGAGGTAGTAAACTGGTTTGGCTTCCTCTCAACTTCCCATGATGGAATTGACCTGAATGATGGAGAGCCTTCAAAAATAGATTTTGGACATTTTTGCCGGACTCAGATGGATTGTGATGGACTAAGCAATGATGATGGATGTTTGATGTACGATGGAGGTTGAGAATTAAGTAATGGTCTTTTGAAAAATTGGAGCTGGAGGTGACATTGTTGTGACGGCATCGCGCCGAAACGCCACATCATTTCATTTGAGGGAATGAAACTCAGTCCGTTGTGTTTGGACGTACGTCACGGACGATGAGAGTAGAGACACAGAGTGATGGAGAGAGCAGAGCTGTTGGCCTATGTCCTCAGTGAGTAATGACCACAGAGCAGGAGGAGGAGGAGGATAGATGATCATGTTCATCAGCTCCCACCACTGCAGCTCCCACCACCACCACCATCACCCCTCCTCCCCCTCCTGGGAGGATCAGTCAAGCTGACGAACCGCAATCTGTGCATCAGTGTGGGTTCATGTGTGAGAGGGTCGGCGTCTGTGATGATGAGGCCGGCCTTTTGATTACAGTGTGGACATGTTGTGTATCTACATAACACTGGATGTTCCCACTCCAGTCAGTGACTGAGGTGGAGCAGCTTCAACATCTGGAGAACATCCAGATCCTTCTGTGGAACTTTAGACGTCGTTCTATTTTGTGGAGTGTGTTTTGATGGAAAATATGTCATAAGGCACATTAAAAAAAAGAAAACAGGGAAATACCGGACAGAGAAGACAAAGACATTTTTTCCCCATCTTAGACCTTGACAGAGATAACATAATAAAACCTGGAAAAAATGTTATGGAAGCTGGAGACATTTGACTTCACTTCGTTGACTTTTTAAAATCAAACAGCCTTTCTGAAATAAAACATCAGTCTTAGAACTGAAGCTAAAATATATTTATTATAAATATATATATAAAAAGAACTTTGATTAGAGTGGAATATATATATATATATATATTTGATGGTAACATAATAGGAAATTAAGTGAAATTAATAAACTGTACCCACTAATTAATTAAAGGATATTTTTAAGGACAACAGACGTTGATTAAAGGGACGGGTCGTGTAATGATTGGACTATTTTTTATCCCCATGAGGTCGAGAGCCATAATCTGCTCAGAACCTGATGAAAAATATCATACATGTGGTGATGTAGTGGCTGGAGGTGAGTGG